TCACCCGAGTCGCCCAATTCACCCGAGTCGCCCAACTCACCCGAGTCGCCCAACTCACCCGAGTCGCCCAACTCACCCGAGTCACCAGACTCACCAGACTCACCTGAGTCACCAGACTCACCCGAGTCACCAGACTCTCCTGAGTCACCCGAGTCACCCGACTCATGATTCCCCCACTCACCGCCTGCACGCAGTAGCTGCCGCCCTCCTCCTTGACGAGGGCGACGGTGGCGTTCTGGTCGTCATGCAAGTACACCTGTAACATGTACAGTTCTTAGTAATATAATACATTGCTTTTTCATAGCATTTTACTACAGGACTCTAGAATAACATTTTTATGTTTTACTATAGGACTATAGAATAACATTTTTATGTTTTACTATAGGACTATACTATACTATAATAAATATTAATAAAATCTCTAGAAAAAACATTAATAAAAGCTCTACAATAATGTAAGCCTCATACTATTAACACGTTGACTAAGATTGCTTCATCTTGTACTATTATTTCATTTTTTGTACTTTTTTTAAGCAGGGTTGCCCGACGGTCATTTTTTCCGGACAAATTCCGTGATTTAGTTTTTCTCAATTGCGTTGACCGGCTAAAATTTATGATAGGGGTACTTCCTAATTAAATTTTAAATACTGCAAAAAGAAAATAAATTGAATTTTTATAGCGGAATCTACAAATAAACTAGTATACATTGAATTATCGGCCTTTTTTGTTCTCGGATTTGGCCGATTTTAGGCAACCTGAATTATGTACCACTACCTTCTGGAGAAATACACTTCGTGGTACGCATCTGTACCAATACGTAGTCAATGTGTTAACCTTTGTCATGGTACTTACCTGGACCATATCACCGGCATTGATGCCCTGCTGGTGCTGCTCCGTCTCAATGGCCACATCAATCTTGTTGCCGTCAGCATCAACAATACAGTCGAGGTTCTGTCCCTCGTCTCCATGCACAATGACCCGCAGTTCCTCATTAGCAGATTCCATTTGTTTGTCTCGTCCCATAGCCATGTTGATATCAATATCATCATCAGATGACAAGCAACCAAGCCCCCTGCTTTCTTCTAGAAGATTATGGACATCACCTGCAGCGGAAGTGCTGAGTTTCATTTCAACTTCCGGGCCAACATTAGAAGTCATTTCTCCCAGGGACTCGTCACCACACACGGCGTCCATGTTCTGCTCCTGCAGGGACATGTCCTCGTCCTGACCCGCTAGGCTCTCCTGGGCCCCGGTGATGAGGCTCAGATGGTCATCGGACATGTGGGCCACGCTGGCCTGCCCGCTGCTGATGAGACGGTTTGCTTGCTCCTCGGTGAGCATGTTGATCCGGCCCCCTGGCCCCACCACGATGCTCATGGTTTCTTGGTTCATTTCCATTTACGTTAAGTAAAACTTGCCATTAAATAATTATAGTTTAGGTTACAATAGTCAATTTAAATCACTTGCACTGAAGCCTAAGCATGCTTAGTCAATGTACACTTAAGTTGGATGGAAGAAGTTGTGACTCCATTTGGTGGAAACATTTTAGGCTCAATTATGCTTTAACTAAGAAGTATATTTAATCAAGGCTAAAATATAAATTGGAATAAATGTAGAGAATCTTTGTCATTGGCATGTCCTGAAGAACTTTAAATAATGTAAGATCTGACATCAAAGTTTTTAGACTTCCTCATGTATGCTTAATTTGTAAAAAAATTGGAGTTTCAAGTTAATTCAAATAAAAGTGGAATAATATTATCAATGACTACTATACTTGTCCATGAAAATATACATATGTGCATTTAAATGGTTACCGTACTGGCTGTCAGCCAGTTCTAGTGTTTACAGAAAAATGCTTACCACTACATGAGGGTGGAATATTTAATGAGATGGATTAGATAATAATGGAGAAATATATTACTTTTAAGATATCCTTAATTTCCACCAGGTGATTCATATCTGGGGCCATACTATCAGAAATAGTTACGAACTCGTTTGAAATTCTGCCATCCAATTGCTGAGGGCATTTCATGCAAAACCCAACAATCACAGACACAAAATAAGCAGTTATGTAGGTATACTTAAGTGAGTTTTGATAGTATGGCATGATATATCACTTTGATACATATATTACTAAAAATAATTCATTACCTTACCATTACCTTCTACTCTAGTCATCCAAGCAGATATATAAAACTTATCGAGTCCCAAAATATTAGCTAATTAACTTCTAAAATGAAGACCAAATTTCAGGTTTTTAACCATTTTGATGTGTATGGTTGTTTGAGTTATGGTGGTGATTGATTGATTATTTTGTTGGTGGTGATTGATTGATTGTGTGATTATTTTGATGGTGGTTATTGATTGATTATTTAGCTTCTGGTAATTCATTGATTGATATTATGGGCCTGCAATGAAACTGGTATGTCAATTAAAAGTCAAGGAGGACTTTATTAAAAACTTTGAAAAACAAGACATAAAACACAAGGATATCTTGATCTAAAAGGCTCTTCTGAATAGTCTGGGCTCTAGTTGCAGTTCAGTTAAGAATTCTTCAACATTTCATATATTTTCTCTCTAAAATTTCACGCTGGAATACCTTTTTCCTTGAATATTATTGGATTATAATACCTTGAATTGAACACAATTAAACAAAGCATATATTTTTAGGTATGTGCAAAAACCAAGTTTAGATCACAACAAAAAATGCCATCATAACTTTATTTTGTTAAATATCTCTGCAGCTTTATCAAGTCATGGCAAAGCTAATAAAAAATTTTACTAGTGATGACTATTGTCAATGAAACGTTTAATAGATAATAAACACTTTTTTGTGCGTGATCTGCAAATTTATTTATTTTGTGATAGGATGCAATAAGATTCCAAAATTCATTTTTATTACTGAAATTTCTTGGCTCCAAAGTGACATTTCCAATGAATATTTAATCATCTACCTTGATGAACCACTAGCCACTTTTGTCAGCAATTATAAACATGGGTGTGGGCTACATACAATAATTTTATTTCATCAAGTTATAATGTTGCTGCCCTAAAAATGGCACAAAAGCTCCAGTTGCAGCTAAAAAAAGTTGATACATCTAATGCATGCTCAGGCTGTTTGCAGCCATGGTTTAGCCATTTAGTGATGGGCACTTTTATCACCCAAAAATAAATAAGTTCAATGCCAGAATAGTACAAGCAAATGCTGCAGTATTTTTAATGCAAATTTTAGAAAAAATTGAATTATACTGTATATAAATACCAATCGGAATTATTTGAACGTTTCTATTACTAGAATTTATTTTTATAAATCCCTCCTGGCCAATCTGGAATATAAGGAGGATTTTTCCAAAAAATCATAGCTAAATATCATCATTTCACAAGTGATTTTAATAAACTCAGGACATTTGCCCTGATTTACAAAGTGATATTAAGCAAGGGGGCCAAGGGTAAGGGGCAAGGGCCTTAGGTTTAGGTTACTTTAGGGCCTTTTGCCCCTAAATAAGGGGCAAGGGCCTTATTTAGGTTACTTAGCATGCCATAGGTTTTCTTGTCTCACTCAGCCTGACTCAGGTCTCACCGTCTCAGCAAGCATGGAAAACATCTACCTTTAAGGCCATGACTAGGGCTTTCCCGCCATTTCCGCAACCGCAAGATTTCCACCAGATGAATTACCTCATATATAATTTAAATAAAAGTGCACGATCGGGCCACAAGATTTTAATTTTATAAAAAATTCATCACATTTGAGCCGCGAGCTTTCAGAAATGAGTTGGAAAGTTCCAACCCCGGGTCTCAGAGAGTCACAACTCACAGTCACAAGTGAGGTGACTTCTGACTTGATTTTTCAAATCGGGTTGCCAGGATTTCTAGTGTAGTACTAACTACCAAGAATGTTTGACTCTTGAATGCCAAATTTACAAACAAAGCAGAAACCTCCCAAGGCCTCCATGAATCTGGTATGGAAACTGAAATATATCTACATCTACTGTTTGAGCTGCAACTAGAGTTTCCACATTCCCACCATTTAAAATTCCCACTATGGGCACTACCTAGATGAATCCTGTCCTTAGTAAATAGTAATTGTTAACAAAACTGCAAAATCAGGCTGCAAGATTCCAAATGTATTGAAAATATAGCCCATGGGAGGCTGGGAGCTGCAAAATTTTATTCATATGCAAGAAAATTATAGGCTTATATATATACCTACTCTAGAAATGGATGAGACAAAAATGCCTGTTATAGCAGACAAAATAACCCATTCAAAATAACCCAGAGTGTTTTTTAGACTCTTCCTCAAGTTCATTTTTGAGTCCTATAAGTAGACCAGTCACCAGTAAAGTATCTTGGATACCAGAATTATCATACATAAGAAATCTGTTAAAATCTTGATTCTTGAGCAAATGAGGAAATTAAAAATGAACTGATTCTAAAAAATCACTGGTTTGCCACTATGCCTTCCTCTGAAGTTCTGAACTGATTTCTTTGGCAAATAATAGGTAAGAACAATTTCACTCTTTGCCACAATTTCTAGAAATAAACTAGCCTAGCTATGATGCAGTTTGCAGTTGCAGTGGAGTGAAGTTGACCATTTTTATATATTTACTCCTGATTTATAGAGAACTCTGCCCAGTGCCCACTATTTTAAATTAACATGAGTAGGTATAAGGTATGTAGCAAATTTAAGAAGGTGGAATACCTAACAAATTATTTGAGCAGCATTCAAGAGGCAAAATTTTGGTACAATTATGTTGTAACTTTGAGTCTTTGACAGACATGAAAAATTGCAGTTATTACATTTTAAAGTAGGTATACCTATTCTATTGATATGAATCATGAATGTCGAATGATAATTAGCTAGGTATGGCATGATTGGCATCTGCGCATTTTTATGTTTTTCAATTAATTTATGCAAAATTTTATTAATATTACTGTAAAACGCTTCTGAAATCACTGAAACTATAATAGTATATAAGTTGTTGGAGTGTTGCAAGTCGCACTCTCTCACAGTCCACAGAGGTCACAAACTGAGAAAGGACGATCTCTGCTGTCTCTGCACACCGCTTGCTTGATGCTACTAGCAATAGCGGCAGATGTGGCTCTGATTCGCGAGCTATTATTTACAATATAGCGGCATTTAAAAAAATAATACTCCAGAATACTTGAAAAAGCATTTTTTCTCGAACGAGAATGTTTTGGAATATCAGACATTATCATATTATTACTATACATTACATTTATCTTAAGAAAAAAACACTGTATTTTTGTTGATTTTTCTTTCTATTAACACGTTGAAGGACGCTATTTCTAGTACAGGACCTGCACTCCTGACAGATGCAAAACGTATACACGGAAATCAGCAAAGTTATTTTCTTCTCTACTAACATTGTAGTGTTTTGTCAATAATAAGAAATGGCGTTGTCGAACTCTATCAAATTTACGCATTTCATAGAGAGCGTGACAGGACGCACTCTAATTAGAGAATTAAAAGTATTCCATTTTTATAGTGTGTTTTCTGGAAAATATTTTTAGAAATAACAATTGTAAAATCCATTAAGATATCATAAACAAAACCAGCACGCCTTAACGAAACACAAATAGTCAATCGAATCATTGGGCAAATAAATGGAGTAAAATACGAACGCATCATTGACGCGTTTAGGCCCAAGTGTCGGTGTGGTCAATATATATTTTATTAGTTTTTTCTTTAATTATTAACTTTCTTGTTTATATTCTTCTATCCTTCATTGGGCCAAATATCATTTATTCTGGGTTCGGTACACTGTGGCCCAGGGCCCAGTAAACGACACGGCAGGACAATGAGAGGCGGGGTCTGCGTTGCGTTTATTGAGCAGGACGGAATTGTGACGTATGAACGAACTTGACGTAAAAAATATGTGTCGTAAGGCCATCGTTCATGGAAATCGCGAGGTCATATTGCATCGAGGTCGTAAGGCCATCGTAAATCGAAGTATTAAGGCAGCCGTGCATCGATATCGTAAGGCCGGCGTCATCGAGGTCGTAAAGCAGCCGGGCATCGAAGTCGTAAAGCAGCCGGGCATTGAGGTCGTAAAGCAGCCGGACATCGAGGTCGTAAAGCAGCCGGGCATTGAGGTCGTAAAGCAGCCGGACATCGAGGTCGTAAGGCAGCCGTGCATCGATGTCGTAAGGCCGGCGGCATCGAAGTCGTAAAGCAGCCGCGCATCGAGGTCGTAAAGCAGCCGGGCATCGAGGTCGTAAGGCAGCCGTGCATCGATGTCGTAAGGCCGGCGGCATCGAAGTCGTAAAGCAGCCGCGCATCGAGGTCGTAAAGCAGCCGCGCATCGAGGTCGTAAAGCAGCCGGGCATCGAGGTCGTAAAGCAGCCGGGCATCGAGGTTGTGAGGCCGTCGGGCATCGAGGTTGTAAGGCCGTCGGGTATTGAGGTCGTAAGTCAATCATACATCATGGCCGAAAGGCTATCGTGAATCGATGTCGTGAGAAAGCGGCGGTCGTAAAAAATCAGCTTAACATACATTCGTACGTTCAAAATAAAATATAAATATTTAAATTAATAAATACTATTAAGTAATTCTTTCACATTCACAAAATTTCCATTCAAAACCCTAATAAAAAATGAACTCTTCATTCACTGGGTGACATTTGACATTCACTTCGTACATTGAATGCGAGGTGATCACCATCAATTTAAACTCATAAATATATACGTACAATAGATAAATAATAATAATAGGTTTCAAATATACGTTTTGATAATGACTTCACCTAAGCTTTATTTATTTTAATATCTTAATACCACAATATCTTTATTGATTTATATCTTAATATAATGAAATCACAAAATTTTCGAAGCAGAAGGCAATCATGCATTGAAGAAGCCAATGGTTCTGGAAGGTTGGGTTCTGATCAACGGTTCTGGAAGGTTGGGTTCTGATCAACGGTTCTGGAAGGTTGGGTTCTGGTCAACGGTTCTAGAAGAGAACCGGGAGAGTCCTCGCAGGACTATAAAGGATGTCAAGAAATAGTACGGATTAAATCTACCTTCGATTATCCTATTTCCTTGTAAAAGCATAGATGGATATTTCATTTTCCTATTTAAGTTTACGGACTTTAATTAATCAAGATGTACAAATTTGGTGCACAGTCCCGATGATAATTTTACCTCTAGCATAACCTGAAACTTCAACGAAGACTTTGATATTAGATTAGATTACTATAAGAATTATTAGATTATTAATTAGAAGAAATATATTATTAGGAAATTCGCGTGTTTTTTCGTGTGTATCTCGCGGACTTTTCGAGGAAGAAGGACTTTAAAGAATCAGAAGGAGAGTTCACTGCAAAATCCTTCAATCAGGAGAAACTTATGGGGCAGCGTAGCGTCCACCGAGACTTCCACCTCCTCCACCTTTGGCTCCTCCAAATCCACCAACTGTTCCTCCGAATCCAGCCCCTCCTCCCCCGAATCCTGCCCCTCCTCCACCAAATCCAGCGCCACCTCCGCCCCCATATCCAGCACCTACCGCACCCCCGACCCCGAATCCAGCTCCTCCCCCTCCAAAGCCAGCACCCCCAGCCCCCCCAGTACCCCCGTCGATGACCTGGGGCTGCTGGACGGACTGGCTGAGCGCCTGCTGGAGGCTGATGCCCCCGGGCAGGTCCGGGTTCTCGCCCGGTCCGTAATTAACGAAATAGACCTCGGGCTGCGTGGGCTGCGTGGGCACCTCTATGACCTCCTGGTTGAGGGCGCTGGGTCTCTTGGTCAGCACGTAGACCAGGGTCTTCTGGCGCGGGGGCGGCACAACCAGGGGGCGAGACCCCCCGTGGGTCTGGGGGGCGCGCACGAATACGAAGTTGTAGTGGACTTTGGGGTCTGGTAGGTTGGGGGGCGGGCCGAGGGGGGCTGGGGGGGCCGGGGGCGCGGCGTACAGGTAAATGTTGCGCGTCACCTGATAAATAAAAAATATTTAATTAATTAGTAAATTAACTAATTTGATTGATAAAATCTTATTTTACGGGTAATATTAATGCATTACTGAAGTAAATAGTAGAATATAATTTTATTTTATTTTCTGAATTATCAAATTATTTTTATAATATTTTACTTGAATTTAAATTTTGTTCGCGGAATTTACATGAATTTTTACATTTTTACTTTATTTACCTGGGGCGTAACGCAAGATCCATCATGGCGGCGAACCTGCCCGCCACTGCAGCCATCACCGAAGTCCAATCCACCGCCACCGCCACCACCACCAATGAACCCCCCACCGCCACCACCACTGATTAACCCACCGCCACCGCCGCCTCCACCTGCCCCGTAGCCTCCACCGCCACCGCCAATGAATCCCCCACCACCTCCACTGATTAATCCACCGCCACCACCAAGATGTCCCCCACCACCGCTGAATCCACCTCCACCACCTCCACTAAATCCCCCGCCACCCCCGCCATGGGGGGCGGTGTAGCCCCCATCAGGAGCCCCCCTGGTGGCTGCGATCAGCAGCACCACGATTGCCTGGTGGAAAAAAAATAAATTTTCGGTGATTTTTTATAAATAAAAAAATGTAACAAAGTAAAGCAAGTTTCTAACACGAAACTTTGACCCCAATGACCTCGCTCTGACCTTAATATTCATTATAATTTTTATAGTAAAAATTAAAGCCAAATAAAGCGAAGATGCGCAGCGATCAAATATGCTGAGTCATCCTACACTCAGAGTGATGGATGTGTCATTGTCTCAATAGCGATGCACTTTTCGCCCAAAAGTGAGTCATTTTGACCCATTTAGGCCCGGCAAAAGGGCGTATCAGTGCTACGTCCGTTCTCACTGTTCGTGCTGCATGTGGGTACAAAAGTGTGTCACTATTTAGACATGACCTCCCATCAATTTTATGAGTGTTAAAGGTTCTGTGTAAACGTGTGTTGAAAGTGAGCTTCACAAGGGGGGAGAAGGGGAGGGGAGAGAGGGAAGGGAGGGGGGGGCATCACATCGAAAACTCGTAATTAAAACAGACAGAGAGGGCGGCCATCTTTCCCGTTACACTCAAAAAAATGTTCTCAGGGTGTACCGAGTCAGTGTTGCCCGCTTTTCCTTTGTAAATAAGCTTGCTGAGCCATCAAGATCCTGTTACACTCAAAAAAATAACGTGGCGAGCGATCAAGATATCAGGGACGTCCGTGGGAACGGAATGAGCGCGCGAGGGCAACGAGGTAAACCGCGACCTCTGACCTGAGGGTAAGTGGGGGTGAGGGCGATAGCGGAAAGGTGGGTCACGACGACGCGTTTATGACTCACTGCCAGGAGGGCATTATGAATGATGGGATCATTACACTATCATTACCTATAGGTAATGTTTTGTGGGATCAACTATTGTTTATTATATTATTCATTCATCATTAAGCATGATCTTTATTAATTATAATAATCATAGAATTATTAATTATATTTAACGCTATCAGTAGCTTTCATTACCTAAAGGTAATAATAATAGCATCAATAACTCCAGGAAACAGTAATAGGATAATAACCTATAATTACCCACATACACGAAATAATATATTGAACATAATATACGAAAGATATAAGTATTAAAATCAATTGTTTGCTTAAATTGCAAGTTAACCAGGAATTTAAACGCAAAGACAATATAACAAAAATACCACAAATACTCCGAAATGTTTTCTCTTATAAAGATTTGGTGAATTTTTGTGGTATCGTCTTTGCTTTTAAATTCCTGGTTAACATACGAAAGATACATTACATTTAACATTATATAATTCATGAAAAATAATATGAGAACATTGTGAATTTTGAAAGCTTATTATGGATGTAATGGAAAACAATTATCATTCAATGATATGTTAATGTTTGAATGGGCGAGGGAAAGCCTTAAAATGGAGTGAAATTGCCGGCCTTAAGTTCGATAAATATTATATTTATCTATATATATATTTAACTCGTCAAAAGCCCTCTATTTTTTACATATAAATAGTTAATTTAGACAGCGTTCTTTAACAATCATTACGCTCAAAAGTATATTAGAATAACCATATTATTTACCTAATATTTAAAGTTTACATAACGCGCTAAAAGTTCAAATGCCGCATGGCACTCACAAGACGATGCATGACGAGGCGTTCCGGAGCAGCACAACACTTCTTATCTCCTTCGCTCCGAGCGAGCGACTGTGCCCCACGCGGTCGCCCTCGCCTTATATAGCCGTGACCTCGGGCCACCCCCCCCCCCGCTACCCGCACGTGCAATTGCCAATTAACTCCACAAGTGAGAGGAGATCGTGATTGCTTTATGTTCGCTGATTGCAAGCGCTTGAAGATGAGCAAAGGTAAGTTAATCTTACCGATTAATCTGAGCAGTTAAGTTAATCTTAATGATTAATTTGAGCAGTTAGGTAAATGGCAATGAGAGTTCATTTCGATCGATCAAACACGATGACAGCAGTTCATTTATGGAGTTATTGTATTGTAGTTTAAATCATAAATCATTGGGGGTATGTCAACGTAGTTATTATCTTGCAATTCAACGATAATAATTCATGAGGGTATTACCAATTATATCAATGTTGTTAATGATATAAATACATCAATAATAATTGTAAAGTAAATAATAAAAACAATAACTGCTTCCAATTACAATAATTTAATATTAATATTAAAATATATATTTATATTTTATATTATATAGATTTTCCTTAGGCTAAATACGCAGAAAAATATTTTTTGGGAGTTTACATTGCAATTAATTCAAGAAATCTTCATATCCAATAACATTCATATATACAAATAAATAACGTAAGTGATTTTAATTAATTTTGTTTAAATAAAGTGAAAATAGATTTTCCTTCATTCACGGGAAAGTGAAAGTGGACATTCGTGACACTCAGAAAACAGAGAACTAAGTTTGGGGTACAACTTGTGGGTACAACTTGTGGGTACAACTTGTGGGTACAACTTGTGGGTACAACTTGTGGGTACAACTTATGAACAAATATTTAATGACTCTGGGGTAATAAGAAGTATTAATGAGGAAAATATAAAGGAGAGTAAATAATATAATCGGTCCAAATCAGATTAATGAGAATAAATTAAATTAAGGAGACCAAACAATCGAGTCTAATGAGATTAATGAGATTTAAATTAACTAGTTCAAAATATCAAGTCTATTGAGAAGAAATACACGTACATGTACGTAAATATATTTCGTGCACATTACGCAAGAAGATGTCGCACGCACACGACGAATTCGTCGCACGCACGGCGCGTGTTACGCAATGCGTGTCGAAATGCGTAACTTTACGACACTCTGTGCACCAACAATGCTATTCCTACCAGGACCATTGCGAGGCAGGAATTAGTCTATAACAATGCTATTCCTACCAGGACCATTGCGAGGCAAGAGTTAGTCTATAACAATGCTATTCCTACCAGACTAGATGAGCCATACGTAAGGAAATTTAAACTCTAATGCTACTCCTACCTAAATTACGTATACTCAGCAGAAGAGTGAAGGAACCTCGTAATGCTATTCCTACCAGAGGTACAACAAAAGGTCTGGCCTGCCGCTTAATTAATTCCCTTTGTTTCATCAATGACGGGGAAATGGTGAATTTAAATGAGGGGGAAAGAGGGGAAATAAATGAAAAAAGGGGAAGAATTGTTGAGGGTAAAAGGGAAATAAATGAGTGTGTAGGGGGAAAATAAATGAGGGGAGAGGGGGAAAATTTGTGGAGGGGAAGGGAACAGCTGACGACTGGGAATGGGGTTATTCCCACAACCCCCTCCCCCCCTCAGGGGGGTGTAAGGTTCATCTAACCCCCCATCCTGTCNGGAGTCACGGTGTCGTGGGGGAGTCACGGTGTCGTGGGGGAGTCACGGTGTCGTGGGGGAGTTACGGTGTCGTGGGGGAGTCACGGTGTCGTGGGGGAGTCACGGTGTCGTGGGGGAGTCACGGTGTCGTGGGAGAGTTACGGTGTCGTGGGGGAGTCACGGTGTCGTGGGGGAGTCACGGTGTCGTGGGAGAGTTACGGTGTCGTGGGGGAGTCACGGTACCTTGTTTACTATAAGGAAGAAAGCGTCGTGTCACTATTAGGGCAATTGACCCACTGATTTTTCTACGTTAAGTTTCGCCTTGGAAACTCGCTTACCTCAGGACCGCTCCATTAAGTTTCGTTCACTTTCCCTCTGTTTGCGCGATCAGGAATCGTTTCATAATTTAACGTACGCTAGTTTCACGCAATTTCGTTCAGATTTATGACAGTTATTAAGCCATTAAAATTTAGGAAGACGAGCACGTTGAATAGTAGAGCTAAAAATAATGCTATTCTTACGTGAGTTATGAGGTTTTGTGGCAGGGGAATGTTTGATGCTATTCCTACGCAGATAATAGAGTAGTATAGAATAAGGTTGATATGAATAATGCTAATTCATTAAATTCATCACGAATTGTAACGTAAATAAAATGGAACTAAAAATGCATGCATCGTGCCTCTGGCAGCCCTGAAAAACTATATCCGTCTCAAGCACATGAATTACAACAAAATAATAATTATTAAATAGATATATGGATGGTAAATAACAACAAGGCATATAGCAACAGTGTTGTATTTTAAGTCTGGTAACACAGCCTGCATCGGATGTATGTCGGCAGCGTACGACAACATGGTACGACCACGGCAGCGCCTCGGAAGCTATTACCCGGCGCAATGAAAATGCACCATCACGCTACTATAAAATTATATTAGTTACATTTATATCAAATAGTGGTATAATTAGGCAAAAGTTCTTTCTGGATGCAAGTTTAATTGAAGACCGGGGAATGTTTTTAGCAATATATATATTTTTTTTCAACGAGGGAACGAAATTTCTTGCTGGCGCTAGGAGATTCAAAAAAGCAGTTCACAAAATGACATTTTAATAGAATACGACGCTTCGAATTTATTTACAATTCAATTTAACTTTTTTCGTCTAAATACAAAATTCATTAGTATTTTATTTAAATTAACCAATCACGAGTCTGACAAGCAGGAAGACAGCATCACCGATCCAAATACTTGATTGAAGGTATTCAGTGTCTTACGTGTACGACAACATGGCTCTCCTTAATCTCATACCGTGTAAAATAACAAAAATAAATCTAATAGAAATTAATATACATTCCAAAGTTTATAAAGGGGACACTTTTTGGTAACGGTACGTGAACACATTCATAAATGTGCTGAATATTTCTAAAAAAAGAATTCTAACACGTCTGGCAGCGCACTGCCGTTTGTAAGCCACAACAGTACGACAACATCGGCGTTGTTGACACGCGGCAAAATACGTTGCGGTTTTAGCAGCAAAATCGTGGCTTACTCGTGGGATATAAACACCGATTTCCGTACAAAGGATAAAAAATATTCAAGGGAAGGTTACACTTGAAGATGTGAAGAGGTGATACTTGACTGGGGCAACGAAGGGTGAAAGTGTGCGGCGCAAGGTTTTGTTTACGTAAATCCTTGAGCGCAAAACAATAGACTTGCGGGTAACAACTTTGATGCAGCAAATTTGATGTACTCAATGACCTTTGATGCATTCGATCAACTTGATGCACTCAGTGACCTTTGATGCATTCGATCAACTTGTTGCACTCAATGAACTTTGATGCATTCGATCAACTTGATGCATTCAATGAACTTTGATGCACCAACTTGACGTATACGTGACTTGCAAGTCACGGAATGACTAGCAGTTTTGTCCAATACACGAAAAATCGTTAAATAACAAAAATAAAAAAAGTATAATAATAATAACAAAATAACGACGAAGAGACCATGAACTGGGAGCGCTTCTCACGTCACAGGCGCCTTCGTCTGGCAGACGACGTCGCCTGCCCCAGCAGCCCGTCTGTGGACGTGACGTCTTCGTCTGTGGCGGACCACGTCACTGAGCTGGCGAAATAACGTAAATAACGTCATCGTAAATAACGTCATCGTAAATAACGTCATCGTAAATAACGTCATCGTAAATAACGTCATCGTAAATACGTCATCGTAAATAACGACATCGTAAATAACGTCATCGTAAATAACGTCATCGTAAATAACGTCATCGTAATCCCAACGCTTGTCAATTCACCCCAATTAGATCAGTTTATTATTTAATATTTCATTACTTTAATTTAGTTCATTTATTAATTAATTTATTTAATTAATTTATCAATACCTGGTAGTGTCGCTGGGCGGGGGGTGTGTCGGGGGAGGCAGCCCCAGGTCCCCCAGGCTGGACCAAACACCTGTGGGGGATACAGAGGTTAATACACGAGATATACAATAAATACATGATATATGTAATTAATATATAAAATATATAATTAATACATAAAATATACAATAAATACATAAAGTATACAATTAATACATGAAATATACAATAAATACAGAAATATACAATTAATACATGAAATATGGAACTTACATATTAAATATGTAATTAACACGCGAAATATGAATCAATAATTTGAGAAATAAAAAAATGACAAAATAATAGAGAACAGACAATTTTTTGAAGGTAATTGTGCACAATCAAAAGGCAAAACTATAGAATTATCCATTTTTTCATCATTTACGAAAAAGTTTTATATACGAAACAAATAATATTCAAAAACTCCTAAATGCATCAAGGTTATAAAGTTTAGCAGGACTCACGGTTACGAAGCATGGGTGAAGAGTAGTCCGAAGGGCGCCGCCCTTTGTAGAGGATCCTGCTGCGGTGTCCTGAAGGAGAGGTGCTGGTGCGGTCGAACTTTCTGTATAAATCCTTCAGTGACGAATAGGATCTCAACTTGGGTTGGAAGTTTAGGCTGGATGAATCCAAGTTACGCTGAGATAAGTTATGCTTGGAATATGCACGGTAAGATTGGTCTTTGAAATAGTTAAGATAGAACAGATTTCGAAAGTAGTTTCGATGTGAATGATCTTTCAATGAGTTATAATCCGCTAGATCTTCATAGTAGTTCTTGGAGCGCGGATCTAGAAAATCGAAATTTAGTTTTTTTGTAAAATTCTCATTTCTGACGTCATTTTCGAGGTTCTTGACATTTTTGTCAAATTCTGTGAAAATATTACCTTTTTGAGTGTCGATCATGTAAGAGTTCTGCCTTGAACCGATAGGAATCCGTGAACTATAGGACTCTTTGAACGACTTAGGGACTCCAGACGGATCCAGAGAAATCCTATTCGGATCCAGGGAGATTCTAGACGGATCCCGAGGAGCTCTATTCGGATCCAGGGAGATCCTAGACGGATCCAGAGGGAACCTAGACTGATCCAGAGAGTAAGTTCGATTGAGGGTGAGGTTGGTGTTGGTGTGGTAGGGTGGGAAGTCCTCTGTAACAACCCCCTGGTGACGGTACACCCTGCTGGTGTACGGGTCGTAGGACGTTACTTTACGGACGTAGCTTGGGTATAACGCCCGTTCTTCGTAAAGGGAAGAACTTACGTTATTTGCACTAAGAGGTATTAAAGTTTCACACTCTACGCTGGCAACCGACCGCTGCGTGAGGCCTACAGTCGCTAAACTGTTGGGCATTCGAGGGGGGTTTTGGTTAGCTTTGTGAGGGTCTTTAGTGATTTTTAGAGGGTTGTTGATGATGGTGAGAGGGTTACTCTCTGTACTGAGAGGGCTGCTGCTTAATCTGAGAGGGTAAATCTCTGTTCTGAGAGGGCTGTTGTTTCTTCTGAGAGGGTTACTCTCTGTTCTATGAGGGCTGCTCGGGATTCTGAAAGGGTTACTCTCTGTTCTGAGAGGGTTGCTCAGGATTCTGAGAGGGTTACTCTCTGTTCTGTGAGGGTTACTCTCTGTTCTGAGAGGACGGTTGTTTAAGCCTAGAGGTTTGCTATTAATCTTCGGAGGGTTGTTGATTGTTCTAGGTGGCCCCTGGGTATTTTGTCTAATCCCATCACGCCCCGAATGTTGGGGCTTTAATGGGGATAAGGTAGATGAGGTACTAGACACGCTGGGTGTATATAACTTGTTCCCCACGTAGTCAGAGGGGAAGACGTGTGTGCTTTCAGGCAGAAAAGGGGGTATGACTCCCTTCAAAGAAGACAAGCTGCCCCCAAAACTGGCATCACCAGAATTGAAGATTTTCCCTCTAGATGCAAGAGGACTGCCAGGTAATGATGCCGTCGTGGGCATTTTCACGCTACTTCTCTGAGATTCATTAAAGTTATAGAGCCTACTAGAATCAGAAGAGTCAAATCTATCAACGTATTGATGAACTTGTAAAGTCTCTTCCACTTTTTCTAACTCCCGAAAATGTTGTCCTAAACGCACCAGATGTTCTTTCAAATCTTGTGCGTCCGATTCCGCAGCCACGGAATAATTAAAAACATTTTCCGGCAAATAACTTCCAGCCTCCGGTATCGCTGCTCCGGTATTCGGTACCGTGGTCCCGGCTAACTCTTCCGGTCCCGAGCTGGTTTTTGAATTAAACGACACTGAAAATTTATCCGGCAGAACGGAAAATGATCTATCGATATCTGTTTGCGTAGTGGAATCGTTCAGGATTGGTAGATCAACGTGAATTTCCTTATCGCAGGTACCGACATTGTCGTGATTATCAAACATCGTTTGACTTCCTCTAGAGGTACACGATCTTTGGAGGATTCTGCTATCCACGGGAACAGATCCACACTCGCATGTGGATATCCTGTATTGGTTAGCTCTACATACACATGAAGTATGTAGGCACCTGCATGAGGTAATTACACACTCGCATGTATGATGGCAAGCCAAGGAACATTTTGTCCCACTTGACAAAGGGCCGACAGATTTACGATCGCCCACAGCGGCCTTCGATGGTTTAGTTTTATGTCGAAGTGAATGCTCGTCGATTTCTTTTGCAGCCTTCGGAAAATTTTCCGTAAGCCTCCTCTCAGATTTTTCGGATTTACTCATCACAGATATTCGTTTGCTCGGTTGAGGTGAGGCATCTTTGGATCCAATAGATGACACAGATCGTGACTCAGAATATTCACCATTGGATCTGGAGCTGTTTTTTCTTGACCCATCGTCTGAAGACTCGCTTTCTTGTGACGTATATTCCCGGGATCTTTTACAGGATGAATCAGAATGTGAAGTAATACAACTCGTCTCGGAACCACTGCCCCGCCGTACCGGTTCTGTAATGGAACCGGAACCACTGTATCGCCGTACGGTTCTGCCGTGATCGGTAGTCGTAGAACCTGAGTTATAAACACTAGAAGAACCGGAGTTCTGATTTTTATTCACGTCGTATCGCCCGAAAACCTTAGCTGTTTTTGGTCTTCTTATAGCCATCTTGCCGAGCTTGTTACAGACTGCAGGTTTATTCGTTCTCGTGCCAGAGTAAAAGTAAGGACCGTTACACAAGTTGCACTGAACATCCCGACTTATCATGTTTACTTGAGTTACCGTGCCTAGGACACTGACCCCGTCAAGCCGGAATATAGATTCTGTTTCGGTAGCTTTGTTTTTAGTTTCACGTTTTCTACGTTTGTGAAAGCAAGTCAAACAGCCAGGTTTACATTTTTCTTGATTTTCTGAATTTTCACTTTCAGACACAATGCCTCTGGACTTGTCGTTTCTGAGCTCGTGAGAGCAGGCTGAACACCGAGGTTGGTTCCCGGTTTCTTCAACAGAATCGGAATTTTGACAAGAAGATTCTGCATTTCTACTGTCGTATGTCATTTCTGCGTCACTCTCGATGGTCTGTTCGCACTTACCTTCAGTGCCACCAGAAAATAGGCTGGAAATTTCGCATGCAGTATCAGATAATCTAGACCCTTCAATTGGGTAACGTTTACTATATTTTGATTTATTGGCAACGGATAAATTATTTTCCGAAATCGAGGAACGTTTGGCCGATTTAGACAACTTGTCAGGGGCGGAGCGTCCAAGTGACGAAGCTGGATGGCGTTCGTTTGAAGGAGTTTCAGGACAGTCGTAAAGCGATTGTAAAGACCGACTGACGTCTAAAACCGAGCCGCGATCACTCGTTTGTGACATTTTCTTATGGCATTTACATCTTGATTTGACGTGGCTAGAACACGGCTTTTCGTGGTTGCTTCTCGATTGTGCGTGGCTAGAACCCTTTTTTTCGTGCATACTTCTTGGTTGTGCGTGGCTGGAACACGTTTTTTCGTTCTTCTTATGACTGGAACTACGCTGTGAACGCCTGTACTTACTATCACACTCACACACTTGCTTGCCAAGAGTTCTCGAGCCCGAACCCTCCAAGCCTAAACAGACTCCGCACTTCGAAGAATCTTGATCGGAAGTTTTGGCAACCCTTTTCTTGAGTTCAAGATCGAGACATATTCTGGAGTGTTCCCGAACAGGGGCTGGATTACCCTTGGCATGTTCTTCACAGGCTGAGTCGTCGCTGTTAAAACCTCGAATGTCGATGTGGAATTGTCCTTTTTCACTGCATTGAGATTCATAGTCGAAATTTCGGTCCTCGATTTCGGAATTGCTTAAAAATTCTGGAGTTTTGGCCTCTATCTTGGACAACCCTTGGTCTTTCGCTAGCCAGGGTTGGTCAAACTTGCAACGTAACTCTTGGTTCTTAGCCTGTGAAGAATAATTTCGAACTTCACAATTTGAAAGTTCTTCGGGTTCTGAAGTCTCTGCTACGATGTAGTCCTGGGTTCTGGCTTCAACTACTTCGCGTAAAACCAGCCGTGGATTTTGAGACGAATGGTTCTTTCTTGAAAGAACCTGGTTTTCTTTTTCTTTCGGGGATGATGACATAAAATCATTTGGATCAAACCTCACGTCGAGTGAACAGATTTCTGCGTTGTGTGCCATGGCAGCGTCGTGTATGGAACGCCCATTAATAGTTATTTCCCCATAGGCGTCAGGTTTGGGAGGCTCTTCTATATTTACTACGGGCGAAATGTTCCCTCCAGGTGATGCCATCACGCCGGTTTGATTGTTGCTGCTAAAAACCCTCCAACTGCCGGCGCTGGAAGGGACCACTATTAATGGCCTACATTTTTCAGGTCGTTCCGGAAGGGAAATTTGTTTAGAAAATTGTAAATGATCTTCTCTGATATACACATTGTGTTTAATTAAATTTGGATTTACAGGATTATTTATAGTTTCACCGTTAACGTAATTAGAGGCTTTAGATCGTTGGTCCCGGTTTCGACACTCAGTAGAACCATTAACTTCTGACGACGCTTCGGGATGGTCGGAGTAAGGTTCTTTGGGCTGATCAGACTCTGAAGTGGAAGCATCGTAAGCGAGAGAAGTGCCTTCCACTTCTGATTTGTCAGTCACGTTCACCGGAGTTTGACTTCCACTTTTCTGTGCCGCAATCACCTCTTCTCCGTTCGAAATCATCGATGCGTCACAAGACGTGCCGTCCGTAGCCACGGACTTTCGCGAATAATCAGACTCGGAATTTGTGTCTCGGCCTTTTGAAGTACTTTGAGCGGTATCATTCATGTCACAAGTACCAATATCATCAATAGCTACGCGCTCATTGTTATCATTCATGTCACGGGATTCATTATCATTACCAGTAAGAGAATTTGGACCAGAACAAAAAGTGGAATCAAGAAATATTAGAGGTAGGCCATCACACTCGCCGTTGGATGTAAGCGACACGAGGGCCTCTTCCAAGGCACTGGCAGGACCGAGGTCATCCACACTCGCACTGCGGCTCTCCAGGGTGATAACGCATCCGTATGGGCCCGCATCACCGCCCTCATCCACGGGGATCTGGGATTTAGGGACGAAAGGGACCAAGTCCCGTAATTGTGTTCCATTTTTAGAAGAAATGTCATGACAGGAGCCTAGGTTAGCTTCTTTAGCTTGGGGTCCTGGACGGGAGGCAAGGGATTCCAAAGAACGCGACGATTTCAGGACCCTGGAGTTTTTGGAACTGGAGGACAAGTTCTTGACGGTCCTGGGTAGGTTCTCAGCGGAGTTTGGCAGGTTCTCAGTGGAGTTTGGCAAGTTCTCAGCGGAGTTGGAGAGGTTCTCGACGGAGGTTCTCGAGCTCATCGATACGAGTTCACGTGGCGATTCGTTAGCGGCTTCCGGAAGGTCTTCCAGAAATGGCAATCTGCCGGAACTTCCAAGCGTTATTTTCAGCAGCTCCTGCTCATCAGACGAGCTGAAACTGTGATGAAATTCCCCACCACCAAAACAGCCTGCGTCGGGTAGATGCATTGAATTACATGAGATGCTTTGACCATCTCGTAGAAACGACGTAGAACATTGACGTTTGTCATCGTCATGAGACGATGAACTTCGAGTTCTGAAATCCAATTCCTCCATAGCGGGATTTTCGTCGTCCAAATCCGAACTTGAGCTTGTAACTTCAGCAACTAAATCTTCGACTTCGGAATCGGACGAATCCAGCATATGTTCGACCGCTAGGATCTGGGCTTCGGTTTCGCGCGCCAGTAGATCCAGTTCAAGATTACGAAGCCGCTGCTTGGTGTCCAACAACGAAGATTCGTTTACGAATTGCGACGATTCGTTCACGAATTGCGACGATTCGTTCACGAATATATTAGAGTCTGAAAATCGTAATTGTTTGTTTGAAGTGACAATTTTTGGCGACGATTTCATTTCTTCGCTTCTAGATGTCATGTGACCATCTTGTACATAGGAGGTAGTACTAGAGTTTTTACATTTGTACCTAGAAGAGTTTAAACTAGTGGTGTTCTTACACTTGTGACCAGTATTACTTTGACTAGGTTGACCAGATGTTGAAGGTATATCACTAGATGCATGCACACTAGAATGTTGACTAGAGGAACCAAGAGAAGATGCTTCACTAGCACTAGTTTCATCCACACGCTTATTGTCACTAGTTCTACTTAGCACACGCGGACTAGATGTCACTGAACCTCTAGAACTAACACTTGTTGCTCTAGACCGTTCACTCCTACTAGATGAAACACTAGGTAATCTAGAACTATTGTCATCCACCCTGTCATCATCCAAATTTTGTCGAACTTTTCCACTATTTCTCAATTGTTCTTCAGTTAATGCAATATCAAACGAGCCATTTTCTGATAGGTCCAATGATTCCAGTTCACATACGCTGGCCCATCTTATTTTCAGTCCTGAATTATTCATTTTAAGTGATCGTGGTGACGAAACTTTCCCGCGTGGTGAATGAGATGAAACTTTTATACGCGGTGTTCTGGGTAAACGATTTTCAGTAAAAACACTTTCATTATGAAATTTTTCAGTGAAAACACTTTGGTCAGACAAAGACTTCCGTCCTTCACCCAACGAATATTTATAATAATTATATTTCGCATTGCAGGAACGCGAATTATTATGTTTATCAACATCGTCTTCGGCATTGAATTCCCGGTCGAGACGTGAAGTAGACGACGACGTAGAGATTTGGTAGACGACGTATCTACGTCGTAGAGGAGGTAGATGTCTCCAGAAGTAGATAGGGCGGTCGCAGGTCACGAAGAGCTCGATGCCCTGCCTGTGGGGGGTCACGAAGAAGGGGTCCACCGCCAGGTCCTGGTCTTCGTCGGGGCCTTCGTCGGGGCCTTCATCGAGAGTGGCCGACACCATCTGCAATGACGAATTAAATTAGAATGTATTTGAATTAACACGTTTACTAGGTACGTATTGGTACATATGCGTACCACGAAATGCATTTCTCCAGGAGGTAGTGATACATAATTCAAGTTGCCTGAAATCGGCCAAATCCGAGAACAAAAAAGGCCAAAAAAGGCCGATAATTCAATATATATTTTCCTAAAATTGGCCAAATCCGAGAACAAAAAAGGCCAAAAAAGGCCGATAATTCAATGTATACTAGTTTATTTCCAGGTTCCGCTATAAAAATTCCATTTATTTTCTTTTTGCAGTATTTAAAATTTAATTAGGAAGTACCCCTATCATAAATTTTAGCCGGCCAACGCAATGTCCGGAAAAAATGACCGTCTGGCAACCCTGTTTAAAAACAGTACAAAAAATGAAATAATAGTACAAGATGAAGCAATCGTACTCAACGTGTTAATATAGATGAACTTAAACCGTACTCATATAATTAATAGGTCCTGTTAATTAACATAATTATAAAAATGATTTAATTATAGACGTGACATTATTATAATATGATTAATAAAAATATGTTGTCCAAATATTGACACACTTACTCTGCTGGTAGCACTGATAAGCTGCAATGACGAATAACATTAGGATGTATATAAAATTAATGTACAAAATTTACAGACGCGGCAGCTTCTGATTTTGATTACCAGAAGCTGGGGCGACTCTAAATTTTGTTAGGGATGAGCTTAAAAAGACAGATAGTAAGCTAGATAGTAAAAGATACTACAGTATATGTAATATGTTGATTAACTGGCTTTCGAATGAATACATTTTTGAGAAGTTATATCTATAAAGATAATATTCAGACACTTTATTTAAACTAAAAATAATGAAACAATGGTACTTGGTACAAATAAAATTAATATACATAAGCTAAAAGAGATATATATAGTACCGTATATGTATAATATTCAGACATTTTCAAGGGAGCTGCCAGGCGACAAGCAGCCATGATTAGAACATATATTATTTAAATTAAAAATAATTATAACATCAAATATTGTTTGAAATTGAACAAAAACTTTTATATCTAATCTTTTTATTATATATATATATATTATATTTCTATTTAATAAACTAGCATATCTGATTTATTTCAATTTATTTATGTATATTTTAAGACAGGTATGTGCAATAGACAGGCGGCGGCTCGCGTGACGGGCGTCACGGCAGACAGTGATGCCCGTCACGACAGTAACACTCACATTCTACAGGGTGCGGCGCGGGAACTTACTTATTTGAATTGCGCGCCACGTGGCGGCCATTAGTCCTAGGAAGGTGGCGCCATGCGCAATATGGTTGTAAAAAAGAAAGAATTAAAACGCTATCTTTAATACTTTTTACTTTGTGATTTTTTTAAAAGAGTAAGTTCCCACGCCGCACCCTGTATTAACTTTATTTATTAATATATAATAACTAATAATCTATAATATCTATAATAATACCTAACCTTAATAATAATAATAACTAAACATATAATCTATAATTAGTATTATGACGTACTAAAACAACGTACCAAACGTACCTTAACAAAAAAAAAAATATATATAATGGGGGAATGAATACCCGCCCGTACTCATATAATTAATAGGTCCTGTTAATTAACATAATTATAACTAATAATTTAATTATATACGTGACAATATTATAATATAATTAATAAGTGATTCAAAATTTGCAGAAAATCTCTTTCATTTATTTGAGTGTAACTACCACTTTGTATAGGTCCCCTAGAAACAGGTACCACTTTGTATAGGTCCCCTAGAAATAGGTACCACTTTGTATAGGTCCCCTAGAAATAGGTACCACTTTGTATAGGTCCCCTAGAAACAGGTACCACTTTGTATAGG